GAAAGACTCCCAAAAGTCGTTATTATTAACACACACACAATCTTGCATAATAATGATAATAATTCAATTTAATAATAAAAATTTGCGTTATTTTTCTTTTTAAAATCAGTATATGCAATAAAGGTCACTGTAATATCTTTCAGAGTTATTGCCTTGATCCCGATATACATGCTAAAAGGTACAACTTCCTCAAGTTCTGTCCATGAGTGTATCTTTCAGAGTTATTGTCTGAATTCTGATATACATGCTAAAAGGTACAACTTCCTCAAGTTCTGTCCATGAGTGTATCTTTCAGAGTTATTGTCTGAATTCTGATATACATGCTAAAAGGTACAACTTCCTCAAGTTCTGTCCATGAGTGTATCTTTCAGAGTTATTGTCTGAATTCTGATATACATGCTAAAAGGTACAACTTCCTCAAGTTCTGTCCATGAGTGTATCTTTCAGAGTTATTGTCTGAATTCTGATATACATGCTAAAAGGTACAACTTCCTCAAGTTCTGTCCATGAGTGTATCTTTCAGAGTTATTGTCTGAATCCTGATATACATGCTAAAAGGTACAACTTCCTTAAGTTCTGTCCATTGGTGTATCTTTCAAAGTTATTGTCTGAATCCTGATATACATGCTAAAAGGTACAACTTCCTTAAGTTTTGTCCATGAGTGTATCTTTCAGAGTTATTGTCTGAATCCCGATATACATGCTAAAAGGTACAACTTCCTTAAGTTTTGTCCATGAGTGTATCTTTCAGAGTTATTGTCTGAATCCCGATATACATGCTAAAAGGTACAACTTCCTTAAGTGTTGTCCATGAGGGTATCTTTCAGAGTTATTGTCTGAATCCCGATATACATGCTAAAAGGTACAACTTCCTTAAGTTTTGTCCATGAGTGTATCTTTCAGAGTTATTGTCTGAATCCCGATATACATGCTAAAAGGTACAACTTCCTTAAGTTTTGTCCATGAGTGTATCTTTCAGAGTTATTGTCTGAATCCCGATATACATGCTAAAAGGTACAACTTCCTTAAGTTTTGTCCATGAGTGTATCTTTCAGAGTTATTGTCTGAATCCAGATATACATGCTAAAAGGTACAACTTCCTTAAGTTTTGTCCATGAGTGTATCTTTCAGAGTTATTGTCTGAATCTCGATATACATGCTAAAAGGTACAACTTCCTTAAGTTTTGTCCATGAGTGTATCTTTCAGAGTTATTGTCTGAATCCCGATATACATGCTAAAAGGTACAACTTCCTTAAGTTTTGTCCATGAGTGTATAGATGTCGTGTTCATCACTTCTTGTATTTTTTTTAGATAAAAAAATAATAATACAAAAAAGTTTCCTTTTTTTTTTCTTTTTCTTTTTTTAAATCAAAAGCAAAGAGTTAAAATAAAATACTTTTTAATAATAAAGATAATATACGAAATTCTTCTGATGAAAAAAATATATAGATACAGTATCACTCATAGTATTCTAATAAAATGGTAAATACAAGGATGTAGCGCGCCATCTGTTGACCCAAATTGAAACTATTAAGTGCGGAATAATTTCCTTCTCAAATTAAAATAACTTCTCACCAACCTTTTCTAAAATAGAGAAATAAATGTATAAATCAACATTGAGAAAAAAAACTGCAATGTCTCAAGAGTTTATGTTATTTATTTTATTGTACTAATAAATAGGTAAATATGTTTTGTAAAACGTCAACTGCTAATAGCAACCTTTTTATATTTCACACAGGATAGAACTAGAGTGAACATTTACTTTTTAAACTTTATTTCAATCAAACAGGCGAGATATTGAAATATTTGCGCCTAATACAGAGTAAACAAAACAACAAAGAAATAAGAACTTAGAATTAAATATTTACAAATTTACATGTATATATATTATTCTACAGAGTTCAAAAAATGTATATAGACAAAGTGGCTGATGTAAGAGAGTTCAAACATTTAGATCAGGGAACAATCGATGTCTCACTTCTGTAAAGTTTGGACAGTCGTAGATAAGGTGAAGTGAACATTTACAATTTAAGAAAAGTTTCAGAAATAGAATTTGCTACTTAGGGGAATGCCCTCAAAGGCTAACAAAGTAATATACATGTTTTAATGTGTAAATAACTTCAAATATAATGTATATAAGGTTGTGCAAAAGGTTATTCACACCTGGGGGAAAATTCAAATAAAGACAACAGAAGAAGACAAATATGATTTCACTGAGACTATTTATTAAGAAGTCAAAACTCCATCTTTGCCGGTCCCAAGCCCGGATAAAAAAGGAGGAGGGGGAGCAGTAACAAGCTCACTAAAAAACCTGGGCTCAGCTGGCCATGCTGATAGTACCCTGTAAGGGCTCCAGGAATACAGGATGAGCAGCGTTTGTTAGGTGCGGCTGCATATGTTGTCTTTTCCTCATGTCATAGGCGGCCATTTCATTTTGGAGCTAAGTCGGCCTGCCACTGAGTAATGCTCCCAGTCTTAATGACAAAGGCAGACGTATTCTACTTCAGAGATAAGAAGAATTAATAAGTTAATGAAAATCATTCTTCGAAATACAGTTCACCATTATCTACGATGGTTTGCTACCTAACTGTTTCTGAGGTTCTCGGGCTTGGAAGTGATACGAGAGGCAGCTTCAGCCTCATCTAAAGTGTCGACGTCCATGAAATGTATGTTCCAACGAACGCACCGTAGTCAGACTGAGTGGCATCAGGACTGTACGCAGTACGTGCCAGTACTTCAACGCCATCAAGCGCTGCTTGTTGCCCTATATGTCCTGGCATTATTTTCCTGAAGCAATACGTGTTTACGGCGAATCAGTGATGGGCATTTCTCTGTCAACTTGGTGTAGACTCAGCTGCTCAATGGTACAGATCGGCATCTATGGATCGTCCATTCTGGTCAAGATCGAAATGGAAGACACCCTCGAAGTTTCACCATACCTATATCATCTCCTTCTTTGCAAAGGGATCTTGGCATTCGACGGATGGCGACTCTTGGCCTCGTGCAAGCAATCTTTTTTGATGGTTGTGATTCACAAGGTAGACCCATTTCTCATCTATCGTCACGATATGTTTCCAAAACGACCGTCCCGTTGGTTTTTAAGCAGCTGGCGGCAAATTTCAATGAGTTACAGTGCCTGTGCTGTAGTCAGTTCATGGGAGGTCTTGACGAGGTATTTTATGAACGTAATTCAAACAATGCAGATGGTTCACGATGGTACTTTGGCAGACATTAAGCGAGGCTGCCAATTCCCAGTTACTTGATGCAGGCTTGTTCGCTAACGTCTCCCGGAGATCTTCAGCTTTCAACATTGTTGGCCGTCCTGTACAGATTTGATCTGCAAGGCTGTAGTCACCTGATTTGAGGTGTTTGTACCAGTTTTATACGGTCACATGGGTCACTGTTACCTCGCCATCACAAATTCCTATTGTCTCTTGTTGAGAGGTGTCACCTCCAACAGTAGCGTATTAGGACCGTAGTTCCCATTTGTCCAGTGACATCCTTCCAGTAGGACATGTTTTGTTTAAGGTTGGGCCCTACTATTAGTATATATGCAAAGTAGATGCATCAAATAACACATCCACTTTGCATATTTCCCAGGTAATGAAGAAAATTTTCCTCAACCATATATAAGGTTGTCCCAAAATTTCGTGTTTTTCTTAAAACATTGTTTTTATTATTACTTGGCGAATAATATTATTACAACGAATACACAATATAATACAAAATACAATTACTTTATACATAATACAAAGACATTATACATAACGGCGAATATAATATTGGTAATTCAATTTTTTTTTGCAAGTGTTTACGAACTTTTGGGACAACCTTATATAAAAATGGGATTCCTCTAAAAAAACTAAAATAAAATGGGAACATATTTAACGTTATAGCAAAATAAATTTATTTATTCTAGTGAAACTGTTGAAAGAACCATAATTTTGCATACGGGGTGGCTTCTACCTTTCAACGCTGAGAAGATTATGATAGATTTCCTTGCCGCGTGGACGGCCTGGCTGAAATTGCTGGGATTACTTTTCCAGGAAACCTTAAAACAAAGCAGGCGGTTATCTCGGTGGTAAATAGAAAAACGGCGGCCACTAATTGCTCAAGAGACGGACAAATGAAGATGCATCTCATGGAATTCCTTAATGAAGGTTAAGTGGTTTAAGAAAAGCAGGGAGGGGGCAAGATTATACCTTCTTCATTCTTGTGTGAATTTATGGGCAACATGATGAATGCCAGAGCGTAGGAATAGTTCTGATCAGGTTTCATACTCTACTGTTTTTTTTTATTGTTAACAGCAGTTCGAATTTTTGATAAAATGTTAGTACAATTACACCTTTGAACAAAAGGAATTTGTACCTTTTAGCATGTATATATCGGAATTGATGCAATAACCCTGTAAGATACACTCGTAGAAAAACCTTAAGGAAGTCGTACCTTTTAGCATGTATATCGGGATTCAGACAATAACTCTGAAAGATACACTCATGGACAAAACTTAAGGTAGTTGTAACTTTTAGCATGTATATTGGGATTCAGAAAATAACTCTTAAAGATATTTGATACACAGTGATATTTATTGAAGGCACACAAAATAACCAAGTTCAAACAAAATTGCCTCTGTCTTCTTAAAAAAAAAAAAGAAAAAAAGAAGACTGACAACAATAAAATAGCAAACTTCCTTAAGTTTTGTCCATAAGTATATATTGGAATTATGTATCCCACAATTTCAAATACTCTTTAAAAAGTGAAATATTTCTTATATTAAGCTATTATTGCGAAAAACTGCTAGGTAAAAGTCTCACATTTTATTCTTAATTTCTCTACATCTTTAATTTTGTAGAACGATATTTGACAAATACACCGCAAATGTTTCTTTTGAACGAAAAATCGAAATTTATTTTAAGGAGAAATAACGATTCTTTTTAACCTTAGGGATTAAGTATGAAAGGATGAATTGTAAAGAGTAATGAAAAACGGAAAAATAAAGTGTCTGGAGATGGGAAGCGAACCCATATTGTACTGCTTACCGGGAAGATGCCATGTCCACTAGGCTACCCTGGACATATTTTTCCGTTCGTAATTATTATATAAAGTAATTTAAGATACAATATAATGAGGCTTATGATTGTAGAACGAAGTTTGACAATTTTACAGCAATTTTTGTAAATTTTATCAATAATAGTTAACTTGGAGGAGAAGAGATTTTGCCTAAGATGGTCTTCTATTCTGTCATCTAGGGCGAAGGATCGGTTCTAATTCTGAGAGAATCCTGAAATTACAAAGTCGGCTGCTCTGACACCGAACACTGAGCCGTTGGAAAGAGCCCCTTGATCCTAGCTTTGTCGGACTAATGGTGCGTCCAAGACTGTCTGAATCACGGCATCGATTGGATACTGGACAGACATGTAGCCCTGACTGCGAGACAATTCCCTCTACACGTCATTGTTCTAACATGTCTACTGTAAACACGATCAAGTATATCGTAATTAAAATTATTTCAACTGTGATATTATAACGCAATACGGCGCTGAGTTTGTTTATACAAAAATATAATGCCTTAACAAAGAGTTGACGTTCAGCCAACCGAATATTGGCAAATAAATATTCTATCCAAAATATGCCTTTTTATTATTTATTGATTACAATTACAATTATTTTATTTCCAAAGCGCTATATCCCGCAAGGGATACTTGCGCCAAACAAGGAGAAAAGTTTATTTACATAAGTTATTTACATTATTCAACGCATGAAAACATTAGAGATCCAGATTTTGTAGAAGGTTTAGAATGTATTTACAAAATGAATTGAACTTTAAATATGATTTTTTATCGGTAATCAAATCGTTAAGTTCACAAACAACTAGTTCATTCTTCATTCTATAATCTTGAAATGCTGGGTAATCGATCAGTAGATGTCTTGAGGTTTGTTCCTCAATACCACAAAAGCAACTTGAATCCTCCACTGCCTTTATTCTATTTAAAAAACTTTTGAAATTTCCATGGTTTGTAACAAATTGTAACAATTGATATTTTGATTATTGTAGGGGAATAAAAAAAAATTGTAAATTTTTAACGAATAAATATATTTGTAGTATAGCTTTATTTTCGAGTTTATTTTAATTATACATTTTCCTCTTATTCATCTTGCGGGAGCGGGAGATATTGCGGGAGCCTTTGATAACGCATGGTGGCCTGCGATTTTAAAAATAATAGATGAAGATAATTTGCCGGAAAGTTTAATAAGGACTATTCAATCATATTTCAAATCGAGGAAAACGAAATTTACATATGAGAACTTAACAATAAATAAACAAATTACAAAGGGATGTCCGCAGGGTGGCCCGCTATCTCCACTACTATGGATAATATTACTAAACGATCTTTTGATCAAATATCAAGTTCCTAATAGTGAAGTGGTATGTTATGCAGATGATGTTTCAATTATATGCTGGCACAACAATTGCAAAGACCTGAAATTAGTTATAGAACAAGCATTAAATACGATTGATGTATGGTGTAAGAGTAACAAACTTGAAATAAGTCTAGAAAAAACTAATATACTCTATTTACATAACAAAGAAAAAATCCCAATCAAATTTAATAATGAAATAATCATACCAACTCTGAAGACCAAAATTTTAGGAATAATAATTGCAAATCACAGAAGAAGAAACAAAATAAATTTTACATACCACATAGAAGAAATAGTAAATCGTACAAAACGTTTTAAAAATTATCTCTTCTCAATTTGCGGGAAATCTTGGGGTCTAAGCACCCAGAAAAGGCTAACTTTATATAGATCCATTTTTAGACCAATACTTACATATGGAGCCGAAATTTGGTTCAAATATTTAAATAAAAAATGTTTACAAAAATTAAATTCAACCCAATATCAAATACTGACATGGTGTATACAAGCCTATAAATCCACATCATATAGCTGTGTTCATAGTTTGGCCAACATTCCTCTGATCTCAGACTTTATCGAATCCAGAATCATGATATCTGATCTGAGAAACTTATCCACAGATGATCAACAAATTTATGACCCATTTATTCCAGGAATTATAGATACCTTTCTCAAATCAAGAATGAATGTTCTGAAAAACGAAGCAAATAATACTTTCTTAAGCTTTTTTCCCCAAGAAATCCCTAAATACTTTCGTCCAAATTTTTATAATACTCAATTTGTTACAAACCACGGAAATTTCAAAAGTTTTTTAAATAGAATAAAGGCAGTGGAGGATTCAAGTTGCTTTTGTGGTATGGAGGAACAAACCTCAAGACATCTACTGATCGACTGCCCAGCATTTCAAGATTATAAAATGAAGAATGAACTAGTTGTTTATGAATTAAACGATTTGATTTCCAATAAAAAATCATATCTAAAGTTCAATTCATTTTGTAAATACATTCTAAAATTTCTACAAAATCTAGATCTCTAATGTTTTTATTCGTTGAATAATGTAAATAACTCATGTAAATAGACTTTTCTCCTTGTTTGGCGCAAGTATCCCTTGCGGGATATAGCGCTTTGGAAATAAAATAATTGTAATTGTAATTGTAATAATCTTGCAGCATTCTGTTTTTTAAACTAATATATATATTATAAAATTAAATTAAATACACTCATAGACAAAAGTTAAGGAAGTGGAAAGTCATATATATATAATTATTAGCTCTGTTTATATATTAAATGTAATATCAATATCACAGAAACAATTCTTTCATTGGCCTTGTAGAACGAGATTGGTGTACACGTGCTAATATGTTTTGGTGAGAAACACAAACATCCTCGATGAATAGAGGCGAGTTGCCCCTCGAAATAGCGGAAAAATATTTAGAAATCCAATATATGCCTCTTTTCTGAATATATAGATATAAATATAATATAATATATATGATATATATAACTAATGAAGACATTAAGGCGCGAATGTTTATTTTCACAAATAAATCAAACTTCTACTGTCCTTACTGCTATGAAAAAATATTGGGAGGTCTTGGCTCATAAGTGGTGAACCTTCCCAGCGGTTTCGCTAATTCAATCTACCAGACCACTTCTCAGAGCTCTAATACTGTATTTGACAATTCTGCTTATATATGCAGCACTGAAGGGTGGAATCTTAGAAATTGTATTCAAGCAAACTATGGACATAAGCTTATAGGACAGTAGATTTACCTTTATATATTTACATCGAGCAATGCTCTTCCGCAAACAATAAGAACAAGTTAGGCATAAATTAATACAAAGCAATAACGCGCCATCTATATAAAGCAAATGAAAACATTAAGACGCAAATATTTATTTTCACAAATAAATCAAACTTCTACTGTCCTTACTGCAATGAAAAAGAAGTTTGATTTATTTGTTAAAAGAAACATTCGCGTCTTAATGTATTCATTTGTTATATATAGATGGCGCGTTATTGATTTATATACGGGAAATATGTTAATATGTTAAATTGTTGACAACGAACTTAGAGGATAGAAGTTGTCTTATGCAAATTGGCGATATAACCAGATAAATTCCATGATGAGGTCAAGGAGACGAGCCATTTACGACCAGAGCTCCAGTTTACAAGCCATAAAGTGACTACACAACTTTATCCTTATCTACCATAAAAGTAATTAATATTTCTTCAACGTTGTAGATGTGGTTTTTCAGCTATAATGGCGTTGGTCGGTAAAACTACCGGTTTTACTGCACTTTTAATTGTGCCGATAAACATTCCACACATCCCGACGTCTTACAACACATTGGGATTGAATTCTAAAAGACCTCCATAATGTGATGGTGTCTTGTCCATGGAACAGATAAGATCGGTCCGTCCACCCTGATCACAATACCGGCCAACTGAGGTGCCGTATGGATGTCCTCTTCTGGATTGATGGTGGTGGTGTCTTGTCCATGGAGTAGATCAGATCGGTCTATGCACCCTGATCACTATACCGGCCAACTGAGGTGCCGTATGGATGTCCTCTTCTGGATTGATGGTGGTGGTGGTGTCTTGTCCATGGAGCAGATCAGATCGGTCCATGCGGTGCCTTGTTCGTATGGGTGTCCTCTTCACGTCGAAAGAAAAAGGACGCAAAGCTACTAGGGACAGACGTCCAACACTCGTAAAAGCAAAGGTCGCCTCTCCCGTCAAAACTAGACCCCTTCTCTTTTGACGGGGAATGCAATCTTTGCTTTTAAAAAGATTATCTTTAATAATTAACACTTTGGACGTCTGTCCCTAATAGCTTTGCGTCCTATTTCTTTCGGCTTGAAGAGCGGCTTTGTCGTCGTATCGTCTATAGGAACATCGATATCTTGGAGGGAAGTCTTGGCTTTTACGCAGCAGTAGAATCCTGGAGCACGTCTTGAAAAATGTAGATCTATGTTACAATATTAATTTTCTCGCGGAAAAAATTCCATCTATATTTTAGGCATAGATTTGACCTAGCCACTTAGCCAGTTAAACACCTCTTTGGCAGATTGTGAAGATTCCATTAGATCCCTTGTGTATCTCATGGAATAAAGTCCGCCTGAAAGGTATCCAGGTGGACGCTTCTCAGTTTACTAAAGCTGGTGTTGTGGCTTTGTTACTGACCCGAGGCCGCTATTTTGCGTCAACGGTCAATAGATGACGTTTAGTTTATCTTCATTTTTATGGGAGAGAACCCCTATGCTTTTATAGATTTCCTCCCGACAACACTTCCTTTCTATATTTTGGCCATAGATTAGACCTAGCCACTTTGCCAGATAAACATTTCTTTGGCAGATTGTAAATATTCCATTGGATCTCATGGATTAAAGTCCGCCCTAGGCTGAAAAGGGCCATTAACCCGAAACCATGGTCTATAGGTGGACGCTTCTCAGTTTGCCAAAGCTGGTGTTGTGACTTTGTCACCGACCCAAGGCCGCTAGTTTGCGGCGACGGTCAATAGATGGCTTCTAGTTTTGCCCCTTTTATCGATCAATTTCTTCCCAGCAAAATATCCACAGATTTCCTTTTTGGAATACAAAAAGATAATGAGAGATATCAAGTTTCAATACTAGATATGGAGTGAAATGTGC